CTGCTACTTATGCTGGGATTTTAAAAAATCTAATTCTTTTATTAAATTCTATATTTGGGATGTTTTATAATTTCTATCATATGTTATTGGGATAAGTAAGTTCTATCATTGAGGAACAAATAAACACACATCTTTTGAGAAGTGAAGACACCAAATCATTTTTAAATACAGGGTGTGTGATCAAACATATTTGGCAATCTCTAGTAAGGTGCGTTAAACAATCACAAAAACGAACACACTCCATACCACAGTGGTACCCAGTGAGTGTCACATACAACTTCTGGTTCTCCTATTTGGGACTATTCTGTCCTCTTTCCACATGGAGTTTTAATGTCCAGATGCCGTGGGAGCCTTCGACCTGCTGGTCTCACAGGGGACACCAGCACAATATTACCCCAGGTGCTGTCCTGCTGGTGCAGATCCCGGCAGAGCAGCCACAGGTCTCCGTCACGGTGGCCACAGGTTTGTTCTAACCACAATCATTTACAGCTGAAGCCTTTATGAGCCATGGTTTTCTTCTGAGAAAGGCTGATGGTTCAGGGTCAGCTCTAGGGGATAGAAGCTGCCCCTAAAGGAAGCTACTGTGGATCACACACATGAGGCAATCCTGAGAGAGCCACATGGGTAAACATGGTATGTTACATAGAGGGACAAGAAAACGTGAAGCACAGGAGGCCTCATGAGAAAACTTGGTTTCCAGAGAGGAGGTGACAGCCTTGGAATCCCAGGGTTACTCTCATGCTAACACCATGAGGGAGCTACCCAGCTCCACCCTGCTTCTCTTGGGGTGGCTGTAAGCCCCTCCCAAGGCTGGGAGGCTCTGCCTGCCTTGGGTGCAGCTCTCCAGCCCTCCCATCTTCTCTGTTTCCATCTGCCCCTCTCACCAGGTGTCTGTCTGGTTGAGCTTCCTTGAGTTCCTCTAACACACCTCTGTGTTCACTGCACTGCCCCGCCCCCTGCCTCCCCACCAACAGCCCCAGCTGCAGTTACCTGAGCTGACCCTGCTGCGGCCCCTTTCCCCGTGTCCTCCTGCATGTTTAGGTCTTCGTATCCACCATGCTGTGTGAGCCCCATTGGGGTAATGCTCCTGTCTACCCTGGCTCCCTAGTGAAATGAGCACCAAGTGCTGGTCCTGGCCCTTACCAGACACTCACAGGTATTTGTTATTTTCACAAAGATGAGACCTGATACGTTGGAAAATTTATTTTACTGGGAGTCACGCAGTTGTTGTCTGGAAGAGGACTGGGCCTAGATCACCCTAATTCCTAAAGCCATGGTTTAACCTGCCATTTACATGTTGAGAACCCACATGGATGCCACTCTACCTTTCTGGGTATTGTGCCAGTTTCTTTAACTAAGAAATGAGAGCGTGGGTCTATATAGCAGTATAGGGTAGGGAGAAGAAGACTGTACAATATAGAAAAAGTTAGAATAAAGTCCTGACTCCATGCTGTATGACTTTGAGCAAGTCACTCAGCTTCTCTGGGTAGCAGTATCTATAATGATGACATGAAAAGTTTATTCTGGAGGGTTTCTGTATTCTCATATTAGCTTTGAACTACTGCCACAGAAGGAATTTCAAAGGTGTACTCTCATTCATCCTATAACAACTCTGTTCTCTTTACCACAAACGCACCAAGTTCTCATCTTCTAGCCAATTCTCTTCTCATGACAATCTTCCTCTGCTCCCACTAAGCTACTGGAATTACTCTAAGTAAATTGATAACTTCTTAGTGGCCAAATCCAAAATTCCCTTTTTATTCTTCATTCTGTTGATCCCTCTGGAGCATTTGAAAGCCTCCTTTGGTGGTACCTGCTAAGCATCGTTCTCTTAATTTCAAACTAAGGTTTTTGGCTGCTTTTATTTCCCCTGCCTCTGGTGCCACTCTATTTCTCCAGGTCCTTGTCATCTCTTAATATTGAAGTTGTATCCCAATTTGTTTTACAGTCTGACCATCTTCTCTTAGACGCCATCAGTCTGAAAGAGCCATTTTCCCTAAATACAAATCTAACTGGTCAGTCCCCAATTTTTATGACACTTTCTTTCATAGCTCCCATCGTCCACTGTATTGGGAAATACATTAATATTCACAGCACACGTGCCATCACTCATTTTTCTGGAGCTCGGGGCAGGTACCACTATTCTGGCATAACCTCAGGACCCTTCTTAACACAGACTCCCCAGCACCTGCTACCAGTCAATAAGTATCAGCATAAGATGCAGCCCATTCACTCACACGCTGGCCCCGACCTGCTGTCCATCTCATTTCTGACCACTTTCCTTCCCGCCTGTGGTCTGGGCTTCTGAGCTTCCCTAGCATGCATGTTTCCTTCAGCCACTGTACCATTATACATGCTTGATTATTCTGAAAGGAGAACAATTTTCCTATGGAATCTGGTCAATACTTACAAGCCCTTCCAGAGCCAGTTCAAATATCACTTCCTTTTGGAGGCCTTTCCTGACTAGCCCAGGCAAGAGTTAGGACAAAAATACTTTCTTTTCTATTGATATTGCAATTATCCATTTCCACATGTGCTGGTCCCCAACTGACTAGAACATGGCCTTCTCTGGATTGGGACCATGTCCTGATCATCCTTGCATCTTCCCTAGAGCTTTCTACGGCACCTAGAACACAGTAGGTGTCAAATAAACACTTACTAAAAGGTGGAACAAATGGGTAGGTAAAAGATGCTTCCCTTTAATTGCAAATGAGGTTTAGAACTCCTGTGGCTATCTATGGACACCACTGGGGACACCAAAGGAATTCTTCTTAGGCTTACCTGGGCCAGAATTTCATTCTTAAAGGACAATAATGATAGTAATCATGGTAACCATTATCACAGATAACATTATGGAAAGCTGACTTTGCACCAAGACAAAAATTGCTTGCTGTAAGACTTCAAGAACAAGAAGCAGAACAGCCTTTAAGTATAATTAAAGAAAAGAGCCAAATAAAGCTAATTCTGAATAAGAAGAGCCACCCTTTGATCTGCTTTCCAAACATATGACAACAGTCTAAAACTCTACTGAAAGCAGTTTCAGATCATTTATTAATACAAAGGGGTCAGAGCCAAATGTAAGACCGTATTAGTCATGGAGATTTCTGGGCAGGGCAGTAAATAACTTATTTTTTTCTTGATGCTATTCTTTAGTGGCTACAGTTGAGATTATCCTAGGAAATTTCTTTCCTGGTCAAATCTATATGGATGAAATTTAGCTTATGGATGAAATTTAGGGCAGTGTGTCCCATGTAGTGTCTTTAAAAAATCACTATCAGATCTAGGAGGAAAAATAAGTTTAGCTGACAAAAATCTGGGGTGTGATGAATGCTGGTTGTTGCTTGGTCCACTTAACGTTAAAATGCATGTTAGCATATCAAGTCTAAGAAGACCACAGGAGGAAACCTGTTCCTGTGACCTAACGAGAAAGCCCCATGTGTATTTGGCTTCAGAACCTCTTCTTACATAATGCCTCGTATTTATTTCTATGGAATTGGTAATGGGAAATACTAGCCTGAGAAGGTCCAAGAAACAGTCCCTCTGCACGGGGATTCTAGCAGGGGATATATGCAAAGAAGATTGCTATGACGACTTATCTGATTTAGAGGGAAGAAGATTGACTATGCTTTAGGCCAGAATAGACTGAAACACAGTATTATTATTTACAAGATAAAATTCAACCTTATTTGAAGGCTGGGAAGAAAAAAAAAGGCTAACTCTTAATCAATCCTCTGAATTAGCAGCTTAGTTATTATGGCTATATCACACAGTCATAGGAATTTATATTTTCATTTTGTCCCCAAGAAAAACTTGACCATCTTTCTTTAATATTATCAACCTGGAAACTTGACAGTAAGGATTAAAAATTACTCCTTCCTTCCTACTTGGTTATTGGAAAGGCTCTGAAAGGTAATCAGTCTTGTGAAGCTACACTTTACAGTCTGCATAAAAATGCCATGATTTCCCTTCCTCTCCCCAACCTAATTGAAAGTGCATAATATCGCCCAGCTGGGGAAATGTAAACGGTAAACCTACCCGATACATCATGCCATCACACAAAAGCTGGCTACTAATAGGGACTGGGTGGTTGTCAGGACTCTGAGAAATCTAGAAAACAAGTCTTTTTTCATCTAGACCGAAAGCTCTCATGCCTGCCACACTTCCTTATCACCTCCTGCCTCCAGATTGCAAGGCTACGGACAGACTAGAGGAAGGTCACCAACCCATTCCTTGCACATGTAATTCCAAGGATCACCTAACAAGGCATTGAGCAAAAATCCCTTAGATCAGCCTTTCGGGGACACAAGGCGTTTCACTTTTGGCAGGAGGTATAGCTGAAATCCTCTTATTCCCTACCTATTTGGATTGTACTAACAAATGATCCTATGATCTCTTTCCTTAGCTGCTAAACCTAAAGATCTTGTCCTTGTCACCTCCTATCCTTTTCTACTTCAACAACATCTACCATTAAGATCATCTCCTTGTCTACCTCTGATCATCCGTGAATACCTATACAGAGTCACATCTTCCTTGAATGTGGAATTTCGAAGTTTCCTGTTCCCCCACTCCACATCTATCTATAACTCCACTTCAATCATGCCTACTTGAGAGTCATCATTTTCTCTTCTCTGACTCCTCACCTCCAAGTCTCATGCCATCTTCTTGAATAAGTCTTTTACAATAAGGCTCTAGGAGAAAGGACAATATTCCTTCAAAGTTTTCATCATTAGTTCTCTGTCACAATATTCCTGCCAAAATGACTCCCTGTTGCACCATGAACTCCTCTACCACCATTCATTCATGCCACCTTATAGCCAGTTATTGTTTTATTTTTGATGGCTGATACCTTACGGGTAGGTCGAGGTGAAGCACTTGTCTGTGGTACCGTGTCATTTCAGTCTTAATAGACTGAAGGATATATTTTTATCTGCTTTAGCCATAGAGATGATTTGAAACTTACTGAATTAAAACTACATTCATCTTTCACTGGGTTACATTACCTGTCAACTGGAGCTGGTGGATGATATGGCTTGTTGACCTTGGCATAGAGACCCTCTAAGTGGTCTCTCTCTGGAGACAGTGGTCGGCCATCCCGAGGGTAACCTAGGGGTCCAGCCCGAGGGGGAGATGGAGACCTGAAGACATTTGCCGATGCACATGGTTCCCGAAAGTGGTTCACTCTGGCGTAATTCGGGTCCATTTCATCATCTTCCATATCGTGCGCAGACCCAGCTGCACTAGTAGCATAATCAACAAGATCTCTGGCCTGCTTTTCCCTCAGCTCCTGATGTTTTGCTCCAATCCTGAAAAATGTAGAAGAGGTAGCAGAGACATATATGAGTTTCATATACTAATACAACAAATACTCTCCTAAGTCTATATTAACTCTTGCTAGTCACTCAGCTGTCATTTCCTCGTTTGCTCAGGATCACACCATGCAGAAATGCTGACAGCCTAAGAAGATTAATTTTATATCTCTGACCTTTATTTGTTACGGGGTCTTTACTCTGATAGCTATGATGTAGGTATTTCAACATCTTGCCCACTGATGACTGGGCCGATAGCATTCCTTCCTTGCACTTGGGAGGTGTTCGTGGAAACAGTGCATCTCTGGTGGATATTCTGGAAGAGTTCACTGGGACAGGGATGGATGATAATAGCCTATCAGAATGTAACCCTTTTTCTATGGCTTCACTATTTAGTGCTCTAGAGTTCCAAAATGTATTCTTCTAGGAAAAAGAATTTGCAAAAAAAAAAATTGATTTAAATATAAAAAAGAAATACAGAGTCTGGTCACTAAAAGCAGTGAGATCAGGGTGATTTATAAGAGACTCCAAGTTTTTTGGTTACACAAATAGGGATCATTGTGTCTCATTATATAGGGGCTACGGACAGAGTAAAATAATGAAGAAATTAATAGGCTCCTGACAGAGATGAATTGGCACATATAAGTGAATTAAACACCATTACTGGCAGAATTCCACAGCGCCACAGCCTTCAGTGAAATTACAAAATGTTGCTGCTAGTCAGTGCCACTGTGTACTGCTGGGAATGGAACGGAAAAATAGACTGAGGTGGATTCCAAATCCATCTGAATTTTGAGGATTTGACATTTAATCTGGAAAGTGTTAAATTGGCTCTCCTAAATTCCCAGTTATGTGACAAAATGGAAAGGCCACTGTGGCATCCTAATAGACAGTGGTGATCTTGATGATGCTAGAAGGGTTTGTCTCTAATTAGGAAAGAGTTGACCTTCTGTCACGGGGCAAACAAGGAGCAGCGTGTTTGGGATGAGGGAGAGAGATGATGCAGGTTCAAGTGGCTAAAGAAAGATGCTCAAGAAAGGGTGGGGACAAACCTGAAGTCCTAGGTGCAGAGAACGTGAGAAGACTGTGGGCTAGACCTGAAAGATCTACGTATGTCTGGGGATATACAGAAAAGGCCTGGATGAGTGACAGGATAAAATCTGAAACTCCTTAGCATTTTCTCCCCTTCAAACAAAAACAGTTATTTTTGTAGATGGCGGTGAGTTTCATTTGACAAACATCAAATCTGTTGTCAAAGTCTTCAGAAGCCATGATCTTTCAAGGTGTGTGTGTGTGTGTGTGTGTGTGTATGTGTGTGTGTGTGTGTATTTTTTGGACAGGAAGCATTTTGTTTTTATTTTTAGTTTTGTTTTGAGTAGAAGGGAGAAGAAAAGAAATTGGGCAGGAGAAAGAAAAAGGAAGAAAAAAAAGATAGAGGAGGCAAAGTAAAAACAAAAACAAAAACACAGCATCTTTCCTCAAGCCACAACAGATGAAAATAAATACCAGCATGCACGTTTGTACGTCTCTTTCGAGTAGGCCCAACTATGTACCCTACCTACAAGTAATTAGAAGAATTTATATTTTTGCATACGGCAACTTGAATCTCCAAGGGATTTTGAATTAAGATGAAAGGAAGATTACACAGTAGGGTACCCGTTAAGAGGCCTTGCCTGTCCCCTTTCGATGCATGTTAGTCCTAGATTCATGGATGTTTGTTTTGAATAATTTTTGATAAAGAAGATAACCTGCTCTATTCTGCAACAAAATAATCTTTCCAGGGACAGTGCAGACTCGATTATCAGAGAAAGCTTGCTGCACTATGATGATAGGGATGGATTTCCATTGCAAATAGAGCGGAGGACATCAATAAAGTTAGGGGGTGGGGTTCTGTGGGACACCCTCATAAGTGGGATGCCTTCGAGAAAAATCATTCAGCAGCAAGATGAATATCTCCTGGCTGCTGCATGGGGCTACACTTGTGTATTAACAGAAGAAGAAAATACTGAGCTTGATTTTCTAAAATTATAGAAACAGAACACTGGAATCTGTTTCTTACTTCATCCCCCTTCTTTCTTAGAGGTTTTCTCATTAATTAAGCTTGCTGAGTGCGTCAAGATTCTCAGATGAAGAGTACTCTGTGTATGCAAAGCAGTATTTTATCTTGTATTTTTTCTTTCTAAAACAAAACCAAATTCCTCCTCCATCTTCTCTGCACCATTGAGTGTTGCAGTAACTAATTTCATATTAATCACTCAGTAGGTGAAATAGTAATTTCTCTGAACCATCATTATTATGCCATATATCAGGGTCTCTCCATGTGGGGGAGGACAAGGCAATCTCTGAAAGGGGGTATATGGAGGCAGAAGAGACTCTCTCAAGAGAGAAATGTCAAGGAAAACGATTTTGTTTCTGTAGCTCTGACCTCCCCCGCCCCAATTCAATGTGAGAATTCTAATTGTTTCTAGTCATTTCCACTTGGAGGTCTCTTCACCACTGGGAACTCAACCTGTTAAAATATCTATTTTTCAAAACAGCCATGATAATATAACCTTTTTCATTTCATGGGACTCCTAGTTTCCCCATTCTCCAGAGCACATCACCTTTGAATTATTTAAATCTTTCCCCCTCCCCCTGCTATGGAAACACTTGTTGTTTCTTTTTTCTATAGTACTTCTGAGTTTCACTCTCCTATTTGCATTTCTTTGTCCACAGTCCACTGTTGCTTCACTCAGAAAAGAAGTGTCTGAGGGCAGGGGTGGGTACAGTACTGGAATTATGGGAAAATCTTTGGGGGCAGGGCTGGGGGAGACATATACCCACACAGCACCCACTGGAGGTGAGCAAACTTTAGGGAGGTGAGATGGGGGAGAGAGAAGAATCAATCTGCTTTGAAAGACAGAGGAGCAAGGATAACCCCAAACCCATAAAAATAAAACTTGAGGCTTCACTAAGCAGCAAACGGATCTTTTGTCAGGATTACCTCCTCCCTCAAATCAAAGACCATAGAAAACAAACTCCCAGGGCAGTGTATGCAGCAAATTTGGAAGAAGATTTCTGGAGAGAACTTAAAGAACTGAAGCTACTGGTGACCTTACATCATTATATCCACACCATCTAATACTACATTTAAGCAGCATTTTTTTTTCCTTTAAATTTTGAACATGGTAGAAAATGAAATTAATTGTAAGTTAATTGAGTGTTGTTGTGCTCATGTAGTAAGCATGAGCATTCTTTCAAGGAGAAAGATTAAATTCAGGCAAATTAATGCTGGCTTCAAATGTGAATAAAGACAAAAGAAAAATACTCTTGAACACTTAAAAATAGAGAGTGGGTATGATACCTTTTGACCCATCTTGGAAAACTAATTAATAATGAAAAGTAGGCAACTAGGAATTGAATCAAAATGAATTCATGTGAATTCCTCTGGTCTGAATATCCCTCAAAATTTGTGTGTTGAAGCTTAATTCGTTTGGTGGTGGTTAAGAGGTGGGGGACTGGGGATGTATCTCAGTGGCAGAGCACTTGCCTAGCGAGGGTGAGGATTTGGGCTTGGTTCCCAGCACTGAAAACAAAAAAGGGGAGAGGGTCCTTTTGGAAAGTCGGACTTCTCAGTTTCCAGAACTGTAAGAAAGTAAACTTCTATTCTTCATAATTTACTCAGTTTTAAGTATAGCAAAGCAGACTAGGACTCTGATGAGGCTGTAGATTGACAGGTCTAGAGGTGAGCAATACATTCATTTACATGTAAATGCTAAGGCTAAACATCTGTGCAAACAATAATTATAGAAAAAATTTAAATATTTTATACTCTGACACTATAAAAGTAATATCACTAATGAAAATCAAAAGCCAATAAGGAGGATGGTTAGGCGACAGCATTATCACAGGAGGATTTCCTTGCCTTATGAAGCAGGCATCAAGGAGTTAGCGTTTAAATTGGTAAGTCAAGAAAAGAGATCTGAGCATAGTAAATATAATTAGAAGGAAGACTACTAAAAAGAACAAATTATCAGCAGGGGAGAAATTGACAAAATAAAACCTGACCACACAGTAGAAAATAGAAAACAGAAAAATCTGTAAAAAAGAAAGTAACAAAATAAGTTGACCAAATTTATGTCATAGCAATAAATGCAAATGGGATTTTTTAAAATTATGACTAAAGGATTTCAGATAAATGCAAAAGAAAACCATACTGAGTACTATTAGAATAGTGAAAAATTGTGTTGTAATAAGGGTCTATGAAAGAAAGATATTTCAGGTGTTAAAAAAAATAGGGTCGCACTATTCCTATTCTAAAAGAAAATACAATATACATTCAGGTGTATACATAAATGAGTATATGATATCTGATAATTATATGTTGATATCCTTGCATATATACAGAAAATACCTGCATATATACAGAAAATATCCTTGCATGTATACAAAAAATTCTTAACAGTGGTTACCTCCAGAGAGTGGAACTCAAAGTAGCATTTCTACCTTATATGCTCTTTGAATTTTTGTATAATTTATTTTTAATAAAACTTTTGAAACATAAAAGTTTCTCTAACAATTACAAGTTGTAATGATTCAAGACTTAAAAAATTAAATACACCACACCAGTAGTCATCCCATTTTTCATAACTTTATTGTCAATTCAGTTTGGACAATTTTTTTCAAATTACTATTCACTGAACCTGTGTCTGGTCCCTTCAAGATCAACTGCTTTTACCAAGAGCACACATTCTCCCTTGGTCAAATGTCCAAAGCTAGTTTTCTAGAGGACTAAACCTAAGGACTAAACTTACAGATAGCACCACATTGACCTTAACAGTTTGTCTTCTTTTCAACCCATGTATCCAGTAAATTCCCTATTATTCTGAAATATTATGCAGTTATACAGTTCTCGAATCCTTGGGTTGATTTTGTATGAATTTCTGTACCTTTGTTTCATTTTATAATAAAATATACACTAACAAAGGAAGATACAATAGGATTTACATCACCAAAAA